CGCCAGCAGGGAGCAGTGGGGTGCGTCTCCTGTTTCCGCCTGCCCCTGATCACCCCCTCCTGGTGGGAACGTGCAGGTGCAGGTGCGGGCGTCTAAAGGGGCGCCTGCGGTCGGGAGGAGCACGGGGCGTCGTCTGCAGGCTTATCTGTGGCCGGGGAGAGTCGCACATGGTAAAGTCCACAGCTCACCCTCCAGAACGTTGGCCGACATTTCTCAGGGAACCTGCCTGGTACCCAGTAGGTTCTCGGTAGGCGCTGCAGCGGCCAGCACGAAGCTGGGGTGGCACGGGGGCTTGGACACCCAGGGGCTGCGAGGTTTCTGTCACCTTCCCGGCACCTCCAGGCCGCAGTGTCCTCACTCATACGCCCCTCCACCCGGGACAGGGTGCAGACTGGGTGAGATGGTGTCTGGGAAGCGTCTGTCGTGGCCGGACACGCACTGAGTGTCCTCAGGACTGAGCAACGTCAGCAGAGCTGGGGGAAACGGAAACACTGGTGTTCGGGGTGGAAACTTCTCTCTGAATGATGCTGATGGCACAGGGCGCGTCTGGCCACGACAGGGGTGAAGTCTCCAGCTCCCCTTGGCGAGGGCGGGAGTGAGCGGATGCTTCGGGGAACTTTGCAGAGAAAAGTTAGTGTCTCGGGGGAAACTCCCCACTGAGCTTGTCAGAGGCTCCTTGTGGGGGACGCTCCAGCAGAAGACGCCGCCCGGGAGGTTTTCTGGAACCTGCTTCCTTCATTCTTGGCCTTTCCAGTTGGGCCTGTTCCAGAGACTCCGACGATTGGATTTGGGTGGCTTTTCCCCACTACGTCGGTAAAGAGCCTGGCCAGCAGGCTTGTAGCGCCTGGCACCCCGGGATCGAGGGCACATGAACTTGTTGGCGCAAACCCGGGTCTCACCGAGGCACTGAGGCTTCGAGGCCCAGAGCTTCCCAAACTTTAAAAGTTAGCTGTGAATTAGCTGTGGCTTGCAGCATTTGCCTGGAAGCAGTGGATGGCTAGCAGCTCGCCGGCTGTGGGCACTCACACGGACCCTGGCATCCGGCCGGCGGGGGCGCAGGCGGCTGTGCTCTGGGGGACACGGTGGTGGTGGTCGGCTAGGCAAGGCCGTGGCTCCTGCAGGGAGCAGGTGGCAGGCAGAGTGACGCAGACCTCCCACGCGCCCCCAAAGCCCGACGTCCGCTTCTGCATGAGCTGCAGGGATCCGGGTTCAGCGCCATCGGGCTGTTTATTAAGCCCCACTCGCACTCAGCAGTTTGCTTCCCCTGAGAGAAGCTGCTGCAGAGAAGCCCCCAGCCCATGGCAGCACGTGGCACGGGCAGGACAGGCTGACCAGCCTGGCCCACGCGGATCACACAAATGCCTCCTTCTGGCACATTTGCTTATCTGTGGACTCACGCCCACACTAAGGCTGGGGAGGGGACCCCAGCCCCACCGGGGACGCCAGGAGACTCCTGGGTTGGGGCCTCAGGGCAGGTGTGTCCCCGGTCCCTCGCTCCCCACGCCTTCGGGATCGGGGGCCAAGGGCTCTGTGCCAGGACACCTGGCAGGGGTCACACTAACACAGCGTCTCCCCGTTGCGTCTCGCAGCCTGCAACGTCTGGTACCTGAACTCGGTGGAGACAGAGTCCCTCACCGGCCACCAGGCCGTCCAGAAGGCCCTGAGCCTCACGCTGGTCCAGGAGCCGCCTCCCTTGTGCACCGTCGTGCACTTCAAGGTGTCCGCCCAGGGCATCACCCTGACCGACAACCAGAGGAAGTGAGTTCCCGGGGCACCCCCAGGGCCAGACCCCCCTGCCAGCCTGCGCGGCCCCTGGGGATGCGTCTGTCACCCCCACACTCCCCTGTCCTTTCTCACCTCCCAGGAGCCACGTGCAACCCCCTGATATTCAGCCCAAAGGTTTTCTTCTTAGGATGTGGTAAGATTGTCAGAAGAGAGAGAGATTTGGACCTTTGAGTATCACACACGTGTGTATAATTTTTATTTAGTTAAAAAAAAATTTTAAGTTTATTTGAGAGGGAGACCACGCAAGCAAGCAAGGGAGGGGTGGACAGAGAGAGAGGGAATCCCAAGCCGGCTCCACACTGTCAGCACAGAGCTGGATGTGGGGTTTGAACCCACGAACCGTGAGATCATGACCTGAGCTGAAATCAAGAGTCAGATACTTAACCAACTGAGCCACCCAGGCACCCCGCCTATGTAATGTTTAAACGCAAATGTCTTTTAAGTTGATTCTGTAAAAACACCCGGGGACCATGGTAGAGCCCACTGGTCTGCTCAGTGTCCGTACATGTGATGGGTGGTCGTCCCGTCTCAGGTGACACGGAGCTCAGGTGACCTTGCTAGATACTATTTCAGCGTCCAGATGATTGTAACCTAATAGTGATTAGTTCTGGGTAAGAGTAACACGTGCTAGTAATAATCGTTCATCATAATCCAGACGTTATATAACAGGTGATGACCTTCACGTGTCTAGACGGTGTCTGATTATCCGGGTGATAGACAGTATCTCGGTGGCCTTCATCAGAGCTGTCACCGAGTAGTTTCTATGCAGTAGGAGTTCCGGCGGGAACAGTGTAGAGCCCAGCCCGAGGAGTCAGGTGCACAGACAGTGCCTGGTCCTCCCCCGCCCCCGCGGAGCCTTTGACCTCAGGATTGAAGGCATTTCAGATGCACTTCCCGTTTACCTGTTACGGAAACAGACTGGTGTGGTTAGCAAGCGAGTCGGGTCCTCAACAGTAAGAGCAGAAGAACGGCAGGAGCTTCACGGGGCACAGGATGGGTCCCCTGGCACCCACCCTCCCCGGTGCAGCCCGACCCGTCCTCGGCACCCGCCCCACAGCCAGTGTGACAGTTCCGCCTGGCTCCATCAGGTGCATCCTCATAGCTGAGTTGGGTTCCCATCCTTGACGATGCCCTGTCCCCAGCGAGGAAATACGGCTGGCGATGGTGGGTGGTTCGTGGGCTGAGAACAGGAAGGCCAGGCTCACTGGCCCCTCTCTCTGGGTGCCAGGGCTCCCGGGCTCGGTCCCGACCTCCACGCGGCTGGCACTTGCACAGGGTTGCCCTGCTGAGAGCTTCCCTCTTGCCAAGCGCCAGCTCCCCCCACACCCGCTCTGCCCACCTCTGATGGTGGTACACAGGGCTCTTTGACCAGTAATAAAACCGCCTTTGGGGGGGGGGGGGCTGCCCCACACATCACCGTCGCCCTGATACCCGGTGGTGGGACCCTGTCCCCCTCCGCCCTGTCCCCACAGGCTCTTCTTCCGGAGGCACTACCCCGTGAGCAGTGTGATTTTCTGCGCGCTGGATCCACAGGACAGGAAGTAAGAAATCCCTGTGTGTATGAAGCGATGCGTTAAGCATCCTTTGCCCGTTAAGTTAATAAAGAGACTAACGTAACTCTTCCTCCTCTTTTAATCTGCAAGGTGGATCACAGACGGCCCCTGCTCGAGGTAAGGTCCCAGGATGCCGCACCTTCCTTCTCCAAAGTACATTCTCTTACAGGTTTGCAAATGGGGTTTCCGTCAGGAAATGACTGAATCTCGCCAGCAGGTTTGGGTTGTGCTGTAAACAAAACTGAAAGTATCCCTTTCCGTGGGAAGGGCCTGCCCAGGGTCTGCGTTTCTGCGGGCTCTTCTCTGCAGGCACAGCACTTCCATTCGGCCTGTACGTGTGGTCGGGTAGCGAGGACCGGATTGTGCGGCTTTTTGGCTGCTCAGAGCAGCGTGCGTGGCGGGCACGTCAAGGTCAGGGTGGAAGGAAGGACTGCCTGTGTGTGAGTGTGAACCACACGGTGGTCAGTGTTTCCCAGACGCAGATGGCGGGCTGAAACCGCACGGCGCTGCCAGAACTTTCCGGAGCTGTGTGCACTCCCCAGGCCGGCTTCCTCGGTGTAACCTGAATTTGATTGCCTGGAATGTCACATCACAGGGGTCTGGCTCTAGCGTCCCCATCTCGCAGTGATGTTTGTCTCGGGGTCTGATAAAGCGCATGGAGACCCCAGGTGGGGCCTGGGCTGCCCCGCTCTGGCACGTGGGGCTGACGGCACTCGTGCCTGCGTGGAATGTGCAACGCCATCGGGGTTACTTGAGCCGAGCCCGCTTGGAAACCGCTAAACAGGAACAGAAAAATCCTTCATTTTTCAAAGATGGAGAAGGGGCTTTGCCAGGGAACCAAACAATGGAAGTCACTATGGGCAGCTGAGGGCTCACGGAAGCCTGTCCAGAGAACAGTTCCATTCTTCTAAGAAAAATAATTAGATGTGCTGTGCTTCTAAGCAGTCTCCTTGGTAGCGTGTTGTCTTGACTGGGGTGTAGGGGGCTGGAGAGGGGAGCTCTGACCCCTGGAGGTGTGAGCGCTCCCCTCACAGCCCCGGTGCCCCGTGAGGTCTGTGCCCCCACGTAACCTGATCGAGGAGAGAGCAAGCCGCTTGCCCCCGTACCCGAGGATCCCAGCCCTCCCTTGGGCGGGGTCCACATGCTGGGCGGGGGCCCAGGAGCCCATCCCGTCCAGAGTCTGCAGGATTCTGGCCAGGAATGGACCAGGGCAGTGGCCAGCCACACAACTGCTTGACCTGTGAGGTGGGCAGGTGTGGATGGGTGTTGGACAGGTATAGACAGATATCAGACAGGTGTGGGCAGGTTGTCGGGCAGGTGTGGACAGGTAGTCAGGCAAGTGTGGACAGGTGTCAGGCAGGTGTGGGCACGTAGTCAGGCAGGTGTAGACAGGTGTCAGGCAGGTATGGACAGGTTCTTGGGCAGGTGTTGACAGGTTGTCGGGCAGGTGTGGACAGGTGTCAAGCAGGTACGGGCAGGTGTGGGCAGGTGTCGGGCTAGGGGGCAGCATGAGTGGCGGGTCGCGGTGGCTGCAGTGTGGGAGGAAGCAGACGGACGCTGGCAGTCTGACCTCGGCTTTTCTTTCACAGAGTCTTCGGTTTTGTGGCCCGGAAGCAGGGCAGCGCCACAGACAACGTGTGCCACTTATTTGCGGAGCATGACCCGGAGCAGCCCGCCAGCGCCATCGTCAACTTTGTGTCAAAGGTCATGATCGGCTCCCCTAAGAAGATCTGAGCCCCTTCCCGCCAGAGACAGGAGGGGGGCTGGGGCGTCTGCCGGGTGGCGGCTGGTGAGCCTGACGCTGCAGCCCCAGGAGGGGAAGGGGATCCCTCTCCGTCTTCATAGATCTGAGGACACAGCCCACCCTCTCCTGCCTCCCCTGGAAGACTGCTCCCCACACACTCCTGCTGCCAGGTGCTTCCCGGGTGGAGGCAGTTGGGCACCTGCAACGCCCACCTGGGCTCCACCGCGTTGGAAGGGGCCGTGTAAGGAAACGTGCCGGCATCTGTGGGAAGGAGGGCGCCCGGCCCTTTGGTTGTGGCCCGGCGTGAGCAGCGGGGCCATCGCCGGTGCGGAGGGCCCCGGTCCGTCCCGTGCCCCCGGGAGGAGACCTCTCTCCTCCACGACAGAGACGCTGGCTAACCGAGAAGGGTTTGCACGTCTGACGAAGGCTCGTGCAGGTCAGGCCCTTCCGGAACTCTGGGGAGGGGACGGTGCGATGGCTGTGAGGATGAGGAGGTCACCCGATGACATCAGAGAGCCTCGGCCCGGCGGGCAGTGGTGGCCCCAGCCTCCTGCTCACATGCCAAGTCTGAGCGGCGCACTGGCCGCGAGAGGAGAAAGAAGAGGGACATGAAATGCCATTTCATGTAATTTATATTCTGCTTATGCCAAATTATTTATGATGACACTTTCCTGTTGCTGGACGGGACGGGTCCCATCGCTGCGGGCCGCGGGGCTGAGCCCGTGTGGGTGCACAGGTGATCGGGGGCCGCAGCCCCGACAGCCTCGACCGCCTGCAGCCTGATGGTCGACGTTGCATTTCCAGGCTGCGGGTGACGTCCCTTCTGGGGAGGAAGGTTCCGGAGGGTGGGTCACATTTGGGTTTAGACTTGCCCCTCTGTGAGCTGCCGGCCACTCGTCCCGCCTCTGCGGCCCCCGTGGGATCCTGTGTTTCTAGCGTCCTGAGCGGAGAGACAGGAGGAACAGCACGAGGCTCAGACCTTCCAGCCTGTTCTTGAGCTGAGGACCGTTGCTCTGCACCACCCTGGAGACCAAGCCAGCTGTGCCGTTCGTGCCAAGGGCCCTGCGCGTCCCCCGGAGCGGGAGCTGGAAGGAAGGCCTGGTCTTCAGTGTAAGGTGCCTCTCGGCCCCGGGAGCTGCCCGCCCTGCCTGGCTCTGCAAAGTCCAGACCAGCTCTTGGGCCTCCCAGAGTCGCCGGCAGCCACACAGGAGGGGGTGGGAGTGTGTCTCGTGAGGTCTCTGCTTTAAGCGGGTCAGAGACCGACGTGGGGCCACACGCAGCCCGAGTGCGCGAGCCCCCGTGGTCGCTGAGAAGGCGGACACGGTCCCCGGCTGGTCCAGTAGCTGCACCGATCACAAGTGCCTCATTTCTGTGCCAAATGTTTGCCTTGGTCTTCGCGGACCTTCTCCGCCGACAGGTGTAGGGGTGGCCGTGAGAGACTCTGTGGGTGTCTGCCGGAAGCCCTGGTGGCCCGGTCCTCGGCAGAGGCCACTGGCATCGTAGCTTTCCCTTCGTGGCAGAAATTCGGCCAAAGGGACCTGAGCCTGAGATGGCTTCTACCCAGTTTGACCCAGAGACGGCAGCCTGGGTCCCGGGTCCTTCCGATGAAGGAAGAGGGCTCGTTTAGAAATCCGAGCAGGGGTGGGTGTGGGATTCGGGAGCACAGGCCATCAGATGACCGAGGCATCGGGGCCTCCCGTGCAGTCCCTGTCCGGAGCATCCCAGAAGCCACACCCGCTTGCTTTTTTAACTGACTGGCCAGCTGCGGCTTCTCGCAGGGGTCAGGGCATCAGGAAGTTCGCTCCCTCTACGGAGCCAAGGGAAGCCAGTTCCACAGGTTCTGGCAAGCTGGTATGACAGATTTCTCCCTGTTACACACCCGTTTCACAGAACAAGACGAATCCACAAACTGGGGGCTCAGACCGTGGGGAGCCCTGTCCCGCCCCCCCACGCAGGCCAGGGGTCACTCCGCGGAAGACGCTGTCCCTGACACCTGGCCTCCGGGCGCCAGCAGGCACAGGGGTCCTGTCCTGGGGAGGTCACGAGGCCTGCCCCCGACAGTGTCATAGCCAGGGTCCTATTAACCTGCTTGTTAACTGTATGCTGTATTCCTCCAGTGCTAACCTATAACCACATTAAGTCAAACCGAATTTAAGGGTCTCCACGTATATCCCTGGCGTCCTAGACCTCACGTCTCCTTATCTGCCTTACTTATTAGTGGGTATTTTTACTTTTCTTACATTGTAAAGAATATATCCAGTATGTAAATGAATGTTCTATAAACCTTTGTATAGTCATTTTCTCTGCTTCTCAAATATCATCTCTATTCAGAGTATAATAAAATTATAAACGTGGCAAAGCCTCGGGGAGGCAGGCATTTCTTGCGGTGTATGAAAGTGTGCGTGTGCGCGTCCGTCTGTGTGTGCGTGGGCGTGTGCACGTGTGTGTCTGCATGTGTTGAATCGGGAGTTTGAAGCTGATTTTTTTGTGGGTCCTTGGATTCCATGATAAATTAACATGTTTTGCCTTTAGGAATGCATTTCAAGATTTCTGCCCAGAGGCCTTCGAAAACCTACATTCGAAGATACTAAGAACTGAATCATAACGTGTGGTGCTGCTCATAGATACTGATCCGTTTTGATGTTCAGCCCCCGAGGGGACTCTTCCCGCGTCTACAGAGTTGAGGCCTGAACCTGAAGTCTGGTGGGTTCACCTGTTGCTTCAATAATAGATGCTGGTCGTGCCCGGAACCACCCTCCTCAGTCTCCCCCCACCACCAGGTGGGGCCCATCATGCTGGCTTTTTGCCGTCTTGGGTCTGGGCCGCCTCCCCATGTGACTGATGGGGACACAGGACCCATGGCCCCTCACTCTCTGCGTCCCTAAAGCCCAGAACTGTCGCCCAGGCCCCGGTGGGGGGATGGTCACTGGGCCGCACCACACACTGCCTTCCTTTCCCACTGCAGGCCTCGGGCACAGATGAGGTCACTGTCGTCATAAAGCCACAGGCTGCGACCATTCACGTAAACACAACTGCTCAGTCCCAGCCAGGAGCGTAAGGGAGAGTCGTGTCCAACAAGAGGTTTGGGGGGCAGGGGCTGGACCCTTAACCACCGGTGTCACAGCAAGGAGTCAAGGTGGGCAGGGCCCAGCAGGGTGGGTTTCCAGGAACACAGTTTGGGTTTGTCATGGTGGCCTGGAGTCTGCCAGAGGATTCCAGAGACCAGCCACCACCAGGCACTGCCCGGCCTGGAGTCTGCCGTGCAGATTAACTCTGTGTTCGTCACCCAGGGGCTACTGCTGATGGAGGTACTGTGATGGGCGTCTGGTTCCCACCCCCACAGGGCTCTGGATCTGTTGGAGATGGGCATCTGGGTCCTGCCGACGGGGGACCCTGGGTCTACTGAAGATGGGCACCCAGGTCCTGCCCACTGGGAGACCCCTCGATCTCTGGGAGATGGCCCCTTGTCCTGCCCATGGGGGACTTCCTGTCCCATCCTCCCTCATGGTTCTTGTTTCTGATAGAGGTATGTGTGGTCACCAAGAGCGTGAGATGAGCTTCCTCAGGGCCTCAGAGGTCACATTTCACACAGCAGACGCAAAGTTGGAGTTTCCAGGTAGACTTGGGGCCGTGGGCACATGCTGGGCAGGGACATTGCATGACACGGGACTGGCTGTATCCAGACACGTTTGGGTGCAAGGCTGTTGGGCTGGTAACAAGAAAAGGATCCAAGAAGAAATGGCCTTAGCGTCCCTGAGGAATCACGGTCTGCAGTGCCTGGGCCAGGGCAGCAGTGGGGGGTATCGGACCCCAAAGCCCTTTGCCTGTGGGAGGGTGCCCGATGCCACGATAGGTGACCTGGCCCGAGGCCTCTCTGTCCCCATGGATCTGAGATAGCAGGGTGGTGGGGGGCCACCAGGAGGAGGGTGTGCCCCTCCCGGGGAACACACTGTCTCCCGCTGTCATGGGGTCCACAGAAAGGCTCAGCCACGGAAGTCTCCCTGAGCCACGGCTCCACTGTCTCTACCACTGAGACACCTGTGCCGCCAGCAGCAGCCGCAGGGACCACGGGAGCCTCAGCACCAGGGAAACCACACAGACCAAAATGCTGCGGCAACACAGTGATGATCGAGCCATTCGTGCGGGCACAGCCTGCCGCGGGCCAGGACCCGGGGCCACACGTACACCGGGCCACCGCCTGCTGACCGATCAGAGGTTAGTAGGAGCCAGAGTCTCCTAACATAAGAGCCCAAGCGTCCTGGCGACGGTAGAAAACCACCCCAAAACGACCCGTGTACCGGGAACCAGGAAACTCATGACAGGAGAAAAGACAGTCCCTCTGCCCCCAACATCCGGATGAATCCGAGGCCAGAATCCCCGGCCGAGGACAAAGCAGCCGACGAGGCTTCAGCCGGCACATGCAAGCCATCCTCATGCAAGTGAAAAGACAGAAAAGCACGGCAAAGAAACAGGCGATGGAAACGAAGCAGACGGAAGTTTCCTTACAGAACGGAAAGGTACAAACAACAACTCGCTGGAGGCGGGATCACGGAGGGAGGGGACAGGAAAGGGGCCCTGCCTTCTGGGACCGAACAAGGGAGCCTGCCACAAGAAGTGGGCCGCCTCCGGGACCCGTGGGGACAGTCACGGAAGACACAACCGCAGTGTCCTTGAGTCCCGGGAGGGGAGCAGGAGAGCGGGGGCTACAGAGTAGTTGAGGCAGCCACCAAAGACCCCAAATCCACAAAGACCCAGCCTGTAGATTCAAGAAGCTGAGTGAGCCCCAAGCTAGACAAACGACAGCAAAAAAATCCGTGCAACTGTCTGCTGTGAATTCTACAGTCCCTGAACTGGTCATGATGTCACGGTTCGTGGGATTGAGCCCCGCGTCGGGCTCTACACTGACAGCACAGAGCCTGCTTGGGCTTTAATCCCCCCCCTCGCCCCTCCCCCACTCGTGCTCTCCCTCTGTCTCTCAAAAATAAATAAA